ATTTTTGGAAAGGTCTTTTCCATCATGGAGCTTGTGCTTCAGCTGAGGAGACCAGAAGAGTAGCCCATGGAGACATCAGGCTAGCCCATGGAGAAATGGGCTCATGAAAGCAAGCTTCTGTGGCAGCACTGGGATTTGAACTGAGCCTTGAAAGACAGCCCTTAAAGAGAACCACTGTCTTGCTGAACAGCTTCCTATTACCATACTTTCAAGCTGAAGAAAGAAAAGAGAAAATTAATTAGGGAATAAGTTCCCCAAGCAATATGCTTTGACTCAGGCAGTTCTACTAAGGGGAGGGAGGTTCAAAGTGAAAAGTCAGCTCCTTGTTCAATAAGTCAAAGCCTTAAAAGACAAAAAGAGAGATCTCAGGAGTAAACAAGGTAACCCAGCAGGCAATGCCATGGCATGGCCTAGCAGACGGAGAAGGAAGCACAATCCTTCTTCGTGGGACACTTCCTCTTTCTTCCCTGCAGATCTTAGGGATGACATTGATAACTGGGTTGACAGGCAGAGACTGTCAGGATAAGTTCGATTGGGGAAGTGGGAGGGGGGCTGCCACACAGTGGGAGACCCAGGGCTAAGCTTCCCTTTTTCATGGGGTGGGGTGGGGGGGAGATACTGCTTTCCACAGGAAAATCACAGTGGTTTGAGAGTCAAGCATTTTCTGCTAGTGAGCAGGACTAAAAGAGTTCTGCCCCAGCCATCAGCAAAGAAACTCTAAGCCTCTGGGTGTTTCTGAGTTATGGGAGGATAGAGGGTCTTGTGCCGAGATCAAGGGATGACCACGGACAGCCCATGTGCCTTGCCCGTATCCTGCCAATGTCAAGAGAACTACAGAAGGATTTCCAGAAGCATGGGTGAAGACCCACAAAGTATTTAAGGGAGAATATGACAAGAGTCACCCAGCCTGAGAAGGCACAGATGGGTTATCTACTATCTGTCCCATTGGAAGGAATACCCAAATCAGTGAGATTGGGAATCTGTTGCCAGCGAGATTAGAGGCGGTCCAAGCTTACTTAGTAGGCAAGTATTATCGAGTAGTAGTAAGTAAGCAAGTAGTACAGGCATGCAATGGACGCCATCTCTTCCAGTCACTTCATTATCTCTAGTATTCCCTATATTTGAGACAGTAAGCAAAGTTTTCTAATGATTAGAGCTGTCCAAAAGTGGACTGGCATGCCTTGGGAGAAAGTGGCTTCTTCTCCACTGGAAGTCTTCAAGCAGAGGCTAGATCAATCAAATCAATCAACAAGCAGCTAGCTATTAAGTACTTATATTTGCCAGGGACTGTGCTAAGTGCTCAGGATACAAAGAAAGGTGAAAGCGGATGACCCATTGTAGGGCTGTGTCGTACAATGGATTCTTGTTCAGGTACCAATTGGACAAGATGGTGTCTGATATCCCATTCATCTCTAAACTACTGAGATCGTGTGACATTCTTGCCTAAGAATCTAGCATAGCAGAAAAACCACTGTATTTTTGAGTCAAGGGACCTGGGTCAAAATTCCAGCTCTGTTGACTGCTACCATATGACTTTAGACAAGTCACTTAAATGTCCTATGACTCATTTTCTTCTACTGTAAAATGAAGTTTTAGTTCAGGGGACTCTGTTGAGACAGGAGACTATTTTGGTTTTTGTATTCCCAACACCTAGCATTGTGCCTGGCACATAGTAGGTACTCAATAAACACTGGTTGACTTTAATGATAGGATCAGACCAGATGTCATGCAGTTCCCAGGGGCATGGGCTTGGTCTTCCATTTTCTTTGTGTTCTTCCCATCCTGACCAGTCCACAGCAAAACTATGAAGTTGGTAAAGTTTCTCTTCAGCATCAACTCAGGAAACTCACACCCCTAACTTCAGACATAGGCTTGGTTGCTTCTAGTCAGACTTTCCTCTGGGAGGATGAGCTAAAAGGAAGATGTAAAATGACCCTGGGGCAGACGAGACAAGCCCAGAAGTACCATTACTAATGGAAAGCCAACCTAAAGTGCATTTTTGTTTCTGTGCTTTTTTTGAAATTCTTTTTAAAATGCCTACGAACATTTTCCTACCTTATTACCATCTAGTGAACATCATATTAGGTTTTTTTTCCCACTGACCAAGGATCCTGCAAGTTTTGCTATTCAGAACATTAAATCCCACAATATGGGAGAGATGAAGAAAATTGAGAAGTTCGTGCTGCATGTGTCCTGAGCCCCAGAAGTCATGATTTGGGTTACGTTTCTGAGGTGACTGTGTTTCCTTGTCATTTGCCTTTCTCCTAAGAACTGAGTATAGCAAGCATTGCAGAGACCTGAGAATTCAGAGTGACCAAATCCATCCAATCCATTCCTAATCTTGTCATATGTTCCTTTAATCTCTCTGCTCTAGCATCCCCAAAAGCCCAGCAATAACTCAGAAAGAAGAAAACACAGTAATCCCCTTTGTTTCCTGACCACGTCACCTGACCCAAAGGATTCGCCTTGAAAAGTCACCCATCGGAGAAGATAGAGCCTGACTGAAGAACAATCTGACCAGCCAGATGCCATCAAATGTGGCACTTAATAAATGCTCATACCCACTGGGAAATAAGGCGCCATCAGCCTATAACCCAACAGGATTGACACTTCTGCATCAGACTGGATTCATCCACACTGCCAGCCAGCAAGATTGCATTTTACCATATGATTTAATATAAAATGGGTTGAAGTTGCAAGTCTTCTAAAATAGCAATTGAGCTTTAAACTGGTGTTAGTCCTAGATGTGGTCAAGAATAAGAAAGTCTCTGCAGATGGCTATTCCCTAAGGCAGCATGCATGATTGAGATGAACATATTCCATCAGTGCCTTGATGACATTAGAGTCAATGTTTTAAAGAACAGATGGAAGATGCTAATCGACATTTCATTTGGTGACAGAAAATCTACTTCTATTTCCCAACTTCGGGGATCCTCAGCACCATGGATAGCAGTAAGCCTGATGGATTTCAGGCTACATTCTGGTGCTTCTCCCTTAGTATCCCTTCTGGGACTATAATTTCTACACACTTGGGTTGTTTTATGGCCACACTGAGAGGCAAGTGACTGTAAATCCTGACCTTTTCTGCTCCTAGATTATATACTTTTATTCTATTTGGTCATAAGTGTTCATCTCTACATTGAATAGATAATTAAATGACAAAAATATTATCCAAAGAGACAATTTATAGGAAGGAATTACCACTCAAAGAGCCAATGGACCATATGCAGAACCCTATGAGATATCATTAAAAAGCACTTAAGATTGGACTTAAATAAAACTCTTAAATACTGGCATCATTCCCAATGTCACAGAACTCACTGCTCAACACTTTTCAAAGGCTGGGCCCACAATTCTACCCACTGGGCTTGACAGAAAGTAAGCTTCTTGTGGGCAGGAACTTTTTGATTTTTGTCTGCATTACCAGTTCTCAGCATAGTGCCTAGAACATATGAGGAGCTTAATAAATGCTTGTTGGATTGCATTGAATTGGGTCCTCTCTCAGATGCGACTGGCATTTCTAAAGTAGGCTCAACCTCTTTCTTGGAAAACAAACAGCATCATCTCCTCTTTGAAGATCCATTAGCAAAACAAATAGAACTGGGCAAGGTATCCCTATCTTCTGAAATAGTAACTGTCTAGACCAGGGGTGAGGAACCTGAGGCCTCGAGGCCACATGTGGCCCTCTGGGTCCTCAAGTGCGGCCCTTTGACGGAATCCAAATTTCACAGAACAAATCCCCTTCATAAAAGGATTTGTTCTGTAAAACTTGGACTCAGTCAAAACCCTGGTCTAGACTATCTTAGTTGTTTACATTTTTCATCCTTATAGATGAGGAATATATGGGGAACATGACTTAGCCCTGCTACAATCAGAAGGGGATTAGTATTTCTCAACTCTTTTCAGTTCAGAATAATCCTGTGGGATTGCTGAGACACTGTGCTCAAAGCCTCTCCCATTTAGCTATCTTCTAGCTCACCCAAGCCATTCTCCCACCTACCTCTCTTCCCCACAGGAACCATACCTAACACACCTGTGTACCCTCTCATTGAAATCACTGTACTTTGCCTTAGCCTGGAGAGGCCTCTGGTTCTGGAGTCAGCCCAGGAGGAACACTGTGCTAATTATACCTTTACTGAGAATAATTCAACGATGCAAGAATCAAGGAGATGAGTTAGACAGGCTCCCAGAAGAGCAGTCATTCTTTTCCATACAATTACATTTAGCCCCAAATGCCACATTGGCCTCAGGGATTTGGGGGGCAGTTGTCAAAACCTGGTCTATGGAACTTGGGGCTGTGATGGCTCTAAACTCTCTTCCTCCCTTATCTTATAGTCCTGGTTTTCTGGACTCCTCTGACCTTCACATTGTTTTTTTTTTTTTTGCTTCTGCCTGGTACCCCCAGCCTGAGGAATATCTCCTCATTCAAGATTTATATACATCAATCAGGACTTAGTAGAGGGGGGGGTTGGGGGGAGCAGTGTTGTGGTAGAACCTAAGCAAAGCCCACTATACATGCCAAGGATGTCTTCCCAACTCACTAGGGTGTCTCAACACACTTTTTGGGGAACAGTGAGTACCTTGGCAGGTATATATATGTGTGTACGTGTGCGTATATTTGTGTTTAAATGTATACATACACACACACACTACACACACACATATGCTTCCAACCCCAACACCAACCTCAAAGTCTTTTAGGGGCATGTGATCCAGTTTGAGTGAGGAGATCGATGAGTGGGTATGTCACTCTACAATTATCTGGACTGTGTTTGGCAGGTCCTAGAGAAGAGAAAATGTGACGGCATATGCCAACTGACTTCCCAGCAGGCTCCTTACCCAACCCCCACACTCTTGGAGCCCAGAAAGGTACATGACTCTGATCCTCCAGAATGTGAAGGTGGCGCCAGCCAAGCAGACCTCCACAGTTGGGGGAGCACCTCAATGAAGGTGGTTTAGCCTCGAGCTCCTCTCCCCATGAGGCAATGAGAAGCCAGGAAGACATCAGAATGTATTTTATTAACACAGGTTTTTAAGTGAACAAATAAACTGACACCAACAATAGTTGGTGAGATCACTCAAGTTAAATCTACAATATTTAGGACCATTTTTTCCAAAATCATATACATCACAGCTAATGATTTCACAGGAGACAATGGCGGAGACAGGAAAGAATAATTAACATGTTCACTGGCTCATGGATCTGCTATGTAATAACTCTTAGCTTATAGAGGCTTCTGTGCCTTGAGGACAAGTGTTGGTATTTGAAAATACTGAGGGTAAGTCCCTCCTCTGAAATGCAAGCCAAGGAATTGAATCCCACTCATGGAAATGCAAGCACGTTTTTACCTTACCAATGGCTCCGAATGGTGCTCACGCGATGTAATGGTTCTGTGTGCAGCGGGTGGTTCACGGACAAGCTATGAATCGGAGGGGTCCTTGAGAGTCTCTGGTCAGACCTCCTGCCACGTGACTGTTTTTACAAGATGACAGCTTATTCTCTGTTTCTGATTCCCACATAATTGAACCACTAACTTAGCATATCCCTCCCTGGTTGCTCCAAAGTAGCCTTAGGCTTTCTCTGAATTCTGGTAAGCCAGCATGGTCTCCTACCGGAAGAAGGCAAGAGGGATTGGTTCTAAGGACCAAAAATGATGGGAACCATTAAACCCCAAGCAGCCAAATTATTATGGCTAACAGTGAAGGCTTAAAGAGGATTCTAATAAATGAATGTGCTATTTATGTTTCCTGCCTCCAGACACTGACTTCCTTCTACCTCCCCACTTTAATCTTAAACCAGGAGCTGTATTTGCTTCACAAAATACAAATATGTTTCCAGGGCAAAATCAAAGGCAGTGGTGTTTCAATGTAGTCCATTTGCCTCTGCAGAAGGGCCTGTACTACGGCTGAAAAGTTGGCTCTTTATTTCACTTACCCAAGTGTAGGCTTTTATGTTCTGAATATTTTTTACTAATTCTCTCAGTGAAATACAGCCCTCTTTGCTTGGAAGGATGTACAGTCAGCTGCATGGAAATGGGAGCTAGATTGCCTCTGGATATAAGCTATCTCTTCTCCAGCCCATTAAAATGTGCATGCATTCACACTGGGTTCACTTTCCAAATTCTATCTGAAGAAGAAAAACGAAAAGGAAAAGAAAAATCTCTTTTTCTCTCTGTCTCCTGGCATAACTTTTTCAACTTCCTCAGGTTTAAATTGTCTGAGAAATAGTCATGGCTGGCCTAGGATGTCAGTTATGACTAATTTCTTCTTCCCACCCACCCCTCTGCTCAACCCCCGTAAAAAAAAAAAGTCACACTCAATTTCTATTCAAAAAGAAACATCTTACTGTAAATCACAGTTGGATTTGGGAGAGATTGGAAATGAACTAACAGCTCCAATACAAATGAGGCTGCCGAGTGAGGGCGATTTATAAAAACATTAGGGAAGCCAGAGCCAGCCTCTTTGGTCTCAAAAACTGAGGCCAATGAAAACCTACTCTTGGGCCCTTTCATACAATTCAGTCTAGTGCTCCCTTTCTCTTTCCAACATTTCTCCCTAAGTACCATTTGTCACTGTTTCTTGATCAACATCTGCTATGGTGGGTAAAGGCTTGAAGAGTATGCCAAAGTGAAACCCTGAGATGGTGGAAGGCCTTCCTTCTAGTCAGTATGGGAAACATGCTCAAGGAGTTTCTCAGTGGGATGTGTGTGTGTTACCGTGTAAATGTGTAAGTGTGTGAGTGTGTAGGTGTGTGTAAGTGTATAGATGTATGCGAGTAAGTATTGTGGGGGAGGGTGTTGGAAGAGTGGGGGTATATCCCTCTCTCCCTTCTTTCACTTTGGGACTTTCATGTTCCTCTGGCCAATCAAATAAAACAGAAGTCCTGAAAGGTAAACCAAGGGTGTGCCGGCAGCAGCAAATATAAAAGACCAGCCATAATGCACATTCACGGGGGCATTCTCTGGGACACACTTGTCACTCCTTTCCAGAAGTATATATTTCTGAAAATCGGCTGCACACTCCTTCCACAGCACAAACAGGATGAGGAGGAGGAGGAAGAAGCCCCCTGGAACAAAGGTCAAAAGGAAGAATTTGTAAGCATGTTCCTCTCTGAAAACAAGGTAAACAAGACAAAGAAAACACTATTTATGACTCAGTTTCCTATTACTAGCTTCATATGTGTGTATATGCGTATATGCACATACTGATATATGTGTATATAGTATATACTTATATATGTGTATATGTGTTTCATATGTGTATAAAGTCACATAGACACACACACATATATGGTAGAGCCCCCCCCAAAATTATTCTAGGACAAGAATATGAACAAACAGTTCTCAGGATAATTGGCAACTATCACCAACCACATGAAACATTGTTCCATGTCACTAATAATAAGAAAAGTACAAATAAAGATAATTCCAAGGCTTCACCTCACATCTTCCAAGTGGTAAAACCAATAAATGCTAGAACCCATTGATGCTAGAGGGGCTGGGAATTGGTGCAAGCATTACAGAAAACAATTTGGCATCACAGGAGAAAAGTCACTAAATTGAGAGTACATGTAACATTCTACTTTTATGGTTTTCCATTTTTTGGGATCAGAAGACCCCAGGTTAAGAGCTAGAATAGATTTCATAGGGATTAAGAGATTTGCTCAGGGTCACATGGGAAGTGTGCCAGAGGCAGGAGATGAACTCTTTATACCCTTCAGTTCAGTGACCCTGCTACTGCACACATACCCTTGAGTCAAAGGCAAAGCAAGGCCCCACATACACCAACAGATTTATCACAGTACTTTCTGCACTGGCCAAAACTGGAAACAAGTGGGTACCCATTAATTGGGTAATGAGTGAAGAAATTTTGACATAAGAACCCAATGGAATATTATTGTACCATAAGAAACTACAGACATAAGGAATTCAAAACTACTTGGGAAGATCTGCATTAACTGATACAGAATGAAGGACAATATATGCAGCTACAATAATATAAACAAAAACTGCACTAAAGGGCATCTGAACTCTGATGAATCCTAGTGACCAAAGATGATCTCCCTCCTCTAAGGGACCAGGCGTACAATGGGTACATGTTGTCAGACCTGACTCTATCTTTTGTTTCTACATATTATTGTTCATTATAAAGGAAGGTTCAATGGGAGATGGGGATGGCTAATAGGAAATAACTGTGGTATACATAAACAAAAAGGCATCAAAGACATTTAATGGCATTTTCCCTAGTATACTTTAGCTGTAGCTCTCCTTCACCCCATTACTCCACTCTTGCATCTCATGTTTCTTATTCAATAAGCATTTCTCCTTGCCTGTGGTCATGTAATATCTTCCATAGTAGGATGTAAGCTTCTCCAGGTAGAAATTATCATTGTTATCTTTGTATTAGGTGCTTAATATGTTTGTGGAATTCTACAGCACCTTGCTATTTCAGACGCTCAGTCATGGAATCTAGAAAACACAAAAATCCTACAACCGGAGGCTCATCTTCATTCCCTCAAATCAATACCGTAAAGAGCTTTGCCCACCAAAATTAAATTGAGCAAACAATAATCAATGTCAATGGGCACACAAAAATGAAGACTCATCTTCTGCCCTCTCTGAGGAATCCAAGTTGTAAAGGATGCAAAGAGAGATGCACCAAAAGCATAATTATGCTGCAGTGTACTTCCAGTGATGTCCTGCGTGCAAGATGTTGTCTAAGGGAGATGTTTGGTTGAAAGAGGAATTGGATCAGATATATGGCAAGAGTAAGAGATGAGCTGAACAGTCCAGGCACTGCCCTGGTGCCCATGAAATGGAAAAAGGCCTAGAGGATGGCCTCTAGGACGTTAAGTGGACACTCCTTTGAGTTGAAGATTTCTGGGAGAATACGGACCAGTGGAAGGAGTACTCCCTTGGCTAAAATCACAGATTTAAGGAAGACTTGAAAAAGAAAATCTCCCTGAAATGGGTTCTGAAACAAAGCTGCTTTATATGAATGCTGCTCCATAGAGAAGAGCGCTGTATCAAGATATCAGCATAATTCAAGTAGGAACTGGGTCTCCTGCAGCAACAATGAGACTTGCCCCCATTGTATATGCCATTTTGCAGCAATAGCTGAGATGGAACTAGTTACTCAAAATACTATGTATGCCCAATTTGGGGCAGGTAACAGTGGATGATATAATGCCTCTATATTTTTGTAATTGATTTCTTTATCCTCTCCTATAACAGCTATTAGAAAGGGGCTTGCTATCAAGAGAAAGATCTACATCTGGCAAAAAGAAGAATATTATATTTGCTTCATTTAGGCAAAACTCTCTCAAAAGGGTCATCCCAAGTCTTGCCAGAAGTCATTCTGAATGTGTTCAAAGACCAGCCCCACTTACAAAGCACCCAAGTCAATACCAAGTTAGGAAAAAGAATAAAAATGAGAAAGAAGTTAAGGTATAAAAATCGTTCCTGCCTGACCAACTTAAACAAGCTATTGATACAGAAAAAATTGGGAACTAGAAAAAGGAACAGATATCAACACAGACTATCACTATTTCCTATAGCAGTTTAACCAATGTAAAGTAATCACAACCCAAAAAGGAAGCCAAAAAGTCTACAAATTGCCTGGGACAGAAAACACATGCTTTTCTTGCCAAGGGAAGTGATATGATAGACAAGGGCAAAATCAGTTTAGAATATAAAGTTATTTCTAAATCTTATGCAGGAAGATAACAAAGTAGTAGAAGGAAAAACATTTCAAGAGATCCAATTAAGCTATATCATGCAGAGAACATTTAAGGATAAAACTGGAAGAATAACAAACAGGTAGGAAAAAAACCCCAAAACCAAGATTTCTATAACAATTTCCTTCAAAAATGACAGTCAAGTCACTAAACTCAGAAATATGGAAGGCATGTCCCTGATGTGCTACATGAGGAAGTGAAAATGGCCCTAAAAAAGATGGGGAAAATAGCTGGTCCAAACCAAGTAAACCCAGGAGAAATCTATGTTGAAAGTGACAAATCTGAGAGTATTAAGGAGTGAATTCTCAAGATATCCAAAAGAAAGGAAAACATAGACGTTATTACTATTGAAAAGGGGGATTAAGAGGATATCAATAATTAGAGATCAGAGTGTCTACTTTCTCATGTTTATAAGAATAATTTATACGTTTCAAAGGCATCTATGATAAAAAGATGGGAAGGGAGTAGGTAATCCTTTGCACATGACATTCTACAGCAAACCACGTCTTTACAGTCCCATGCTTGGCTGAAACGCAAAGAACATAAGGCTCCAGTGATTATTGTTTGGTTATTTTTAAAAAAGTATTTGATTCAGAGGAGCAAAATGCAGCCTTAAAAGTCTCTCCTCCACCTAGTTACATCCCATGCATATGTTGAGATAATGCAGATTCCATGATGAATGTAACATTGGATATAATTTTGATAATCCTCCGAACACTAAAATCAAAGAAAAAAGAAAAACAAAAAGAAGACAGTTTCACATTCATGGATGATGTCCAAATGTAAAAGGGATAGATGCTGAGGTGCTGTGGACACAATCACCACAATGCTTCTTTGTGCAGCAAGAAAATCAAGACCTAGAACATTAGGGAGTGAGTCTCCTGAGTGAGATTGGCAATTGCTCTGAAGGGTTCAGCCTAATTGTCCACACCGGAACAAAACAAATGGATGAAGAATGCCTACTGTGCACATTGTGATATGCAGGTGGATGGACAGCATCCAGAGCTGGTCCATTGGTGTCTGTGTATCTTAAACAGACACTACATGTGGACTATAAACTGGGCCCAGAACAGAATGTGTCTTTGGGCAGTTAGACCCTGTTTTTAAGGAATTAGACTTGTTTTGTTTGGCCAGAGAAGGCAGGAGAGCAATGGGCTCTAGGTGTCAAGAGCCAGAACTTCATTAGCATACCCCCTCCCCCTTACTGCACACAGGTTTCCAAAGTAACCTGCAAATGTCCTGGAGACTGGCTATTTTGAACTTATAATAGCAGTAAATTAATGGAAATCATTATCATCAACTTGAAGGATCATAGGTCAGAATGAATTTAAACATGTACAAACAAGTTTTCTAACCAGCTGACATAGCGTAAATCGTTCATAATTAGTTGGAACTATGTCAGAATAATGAAAACGAATTACAGTTATAATCACGCTAAAAATCACTGGTAAAAATAAATAAAAAGGGATAAAACAAGGTTTGGCAAGTTTCGACTTGTCTCAACTTCCCTGAAGCCAGTTATTCACAAATAGGAAAAGATTTCTAAGAATATGAAGAGCTTTACAACAATGCTCTCCATTATCACAGGCTTGAAGGAGCTTAAACAGGTCACAACTAGTCCAGATCAGTAGAAGTGGCATTGTCCTCATATACCCTGATCTGAAACTTACTGCCTAGGTGACCTTAAGCAAACTTCATTCCCCCCTCCCCTTCTTGTCTCTCTCTGGTCTCTGTCTCTCTCCCTTCTGTCTCCCTCTCTGTCTCTACCCCCTCTCTTCTTTCTCCCTCTCTCTGTTTCTCTTCCCTCTCCTCTATCTCTCCCTCTCTCTCCACTCTTCTCTCTCTTTCTTTCTCTCTCCCCTCTTTCCTCCTTCTCTATCTCTCTCTACCTCCTCTCCTCTCTCTCCCTCTGTCTCCCTCTGTCTCCCACTCTCCTTTCTCTCTATGTGTTTCTCTGTCTCTCTCTACTCCCTCTCCTCTCTCTCTCTCCCTCTCCCCCGCCATGACTCTCCCATTCTCCTCTGTGTGTGTGTCTCTCTGTCTCTCTCTACCCCCTCTCCTCTTTCTTCCTCTGTCTCTGTCTGTCTCTCTTCCCTCTCCTCTCCCTCTCTCTCCCTCCCTCTCCATTCCTCTTTCTGTCTCCCTCTCTCTCTACTCCCTGTCCTCTCTCTCCCTCTTCTCTCTCTGTCTCTCTCTATTCCTTCTCCTCTTTCTCTGTCTCCTTCTGTCTCTCATCCCTCTCTTCTGTCTGTCTCTCCCTCTCTCCACTCTTCTCTTTCTCTCTCCCTCCTTTTTCCTCTCCCTTTCCCTCTTTCTCTTTAAAATAAAGG